CAGGAATATTTTTGAAAAAATGTATACCCGGTATCTACCTATCAATCATCATTAGGGTATATTAGAATATTTATTACTATTATTTATAATATTGAATGAAACTTTAGATAAATCTTCACGTGTGTTTGTGTCTATCTGTGTTTGTGTCTGCGTGTGTTTGTGTCTGTCTGTGTGTTGGTATGTTTGTATGTGTGTGTGTTTGTGTGTGTTTGAGTGTGTTTTTTTTCTTGTAACTCCATTACATTAGTATAACGGTGATAATACCATGTTTACCAGCAAATCGTTACAAATAGCAAATAGATCATTGAATCTTTCTACAAGTTTGTACGACTTTGAGCAAGCACTGATACCAAATACCCACATATGTAAGCAAAAAAATCAACTTTACATGAAGAATTAAAAACAAATAATCTAAAATGGATAATACTGATAATTGCGAACGAATTCCAATAACATTAGATTCTGAAATATTCCAACTATAGCACGTAAGCTCATATTCTAAGATGCCGAAACATGAAACAAAAATATATATCTAAATAGGCCTATACCACCTCAAACCATTGAAATAAAAATACTTCAATAATTTACAAAGTACAAAACACAAAGTTTTTTAGAACCAATACTAAACCTTTAATTTAATTAAAATCTATCTATTCTTCGGAAATATAAAATCACAAATAAATACACAAACAAATACAAAAACATAGAGCCAAAAGAAGCCAACACGTTTTTACAAATATTCACCTCAGCAACTAATACCCAACACATACGTACCAAACATCCGACACATCGCGAATCAAACGCATCACGATTTCGACAAAAAAGAAAAACTCTACTTGCGGAGATTCTTTTAAAAGGAAAAACTTCCCACACAAACAAAACAAAAAGAAAAATGCTGTGAGAGTTGGTATAAAATTGTAATTCAAATTTTAAAATTTTTTTCCAGTCGCGAGTATCATTTGTTACAATCTGGCGCCTAAATAACGAGGCGGTGGTCGAAGATGTTGATTAATGGGCGCGCGCTCCTAATTACTTCGCGAAACTATCGCGGAAAGAGAAAGGAGAGTTAAATTATATAGAAATTAAAAATTAAAAAAATTATAAATAAAAAGTTATATTACATAGAGGTAAACATTAAAAAATTATAAAGACCAAAACAAAATGATGAAACAAAATATTTTAACTAAAACACTTTCCTTGAATCAAATCAAATGAATTGGGGAACAAATTTCTTTCAAAAATATCCACACAAATTATTTACAAATAATAACCGATTTTAAATTGAAGAAGCATTTTTTTAGAAACATGAACCAAATTTTCAGCATTTTCAGAAGTTGGTCAACTGCAGTCATCATCAGTAACGTCAGCATCAATTTCACGTTCATCACCATTGCCAACAACATCCTCAGTAGTATCATCACCCCCGCCACGAACATCGTCATCATCATCATCGTCATCATCACTACCACCATCATCATCATCAACGTCAACGTCGCTATGATCATTATTCATCACCATTATAACCATCATCATCACCATTATAACCATCATCATCACCATTATAACCATCATCATCACCATTATAACCATCATCATCACCATTATAACCATCATCATCACCATTATAACCATCATCATCATCATTATAACCATCATCATCATCATTATAACCATCATCATCATCATTATTACCATCATCATTATCAACATCGTCGTCACCATCGTTCCCGTCACCACCATCATCATCATCACCACTGCCTCTAGTTTATTCCAGGCATGACATCCTCAATGAACTGAACCGTGACCAGTGTTATGAAGAGCTGCTTCATGCACCCATGCATTTCTCTCTCTCTCTCTCTCTCTCTCTCTCTCTCTCTCTCTAACTTCCTCTCTTTCCATCTATCTCCATTTCTTTCTTTTTCTCATTTTTAATACATTTTTCCTCCTTCAATCTCTATCACCGACATCTTCACGTGTTTGTGGGCTTGCGAGCTTGTGTGAATGATTTTTTCTGCCTCTATAACGTTTTCAGGGGTTCGATAATTTTTTGTTTGTATAATTGTCTTGGCTTTCCGTTAATTATTCTATGCTTGGCTGCCATTTGTGAAATATCGGCTCCGTCAACAGAGTTTGTTTTAACATTATTAGATCAAATGAATCAAAAAATATTTTTGTCTGCAATAGTCGTTTCATTAAAAATTAAAATTTTACAATGTTTTTGCTGCTGGAAAAAATAAATTAATTTGTGATTTATTTGTGTTTACATCTCAGCAGTTTCTAGTATAAAATAATGAATTGTTTTTTATTGCTAACTGGCTACGTTAATTAATTTTCATTTATTTCTTAAAACGTTTGTGATAGTTTCTAATTTTATTCTAATTTAATTGGTTTTTAATTTCTAGTTTAATTTATTTATGTTTACATCTCAGCAGTTTCTAAAGATAATTTATTGAATTACAAAATGAATGGTTTTTTATTTCTAAATGGTTACGTTAATTAATTTTCATTTATTTTTTAAAACATTTGTGATGGTTTCTAAATTTAATTGCTTCCACGAGTTGATTGAAGGCTGTGTATGTGGGACCTTGAATATTTTTTCAAATTGAAATTTTGAGGTTTCATGTTTGATAAAAGAGAGAAGTAAAGTCAAAAGCTTTTTCAGGCTATAAAATGGCTAAGCAGTCCATGAGCCAAACAAATGGACAAACAGCAAACTGACAAAGAAACAAATGAACAAACAGACAAAGATTGAGACAACAAGACAGCAAGGCAAAGAAAAAGAGAGAAGCAACAAAGAAACATCTGCATGCATCATGATGAGAGTGGCATGAAGACATTTATCACGGACATTTCATGGCCAACAAAAAGTCATCGACAATATGCTGACTCCCCTCTTGATTCATGTTCAGCTCCTTCTAAAAATTTCCTCAATGAAAAAGTTTTTGGAAAATGTTTGGTAGTTTAAAAAATAAATTTAATTAAAAAGTGCAGACATTTACTTTTTAGAAGAAGAAATCTTAAAACTTCATAAACACAAACAACAACTGAAAGTTACATTAAACATCAGAACATAACAAACCTCATCCAACATCATCAGTGTATAAACGAATAGATCAATAATAACACAAACCCTCCCAGTAGCAGTACAGATGCCAACCAACATACACACTTACCAACACACAAACATATAAGCACACTAACATACAAATTAATTAAACACTAACATACAAACCAACAAACATACACACATATACACACCAACATACAAACAAACCAACATGCAAGCACACAAACATACCAACACACAAACAGAAAAACACACGAGCACACAGAAATGTTAAAAACAAAAACAAACAAGCTGAGCAATGCAATTGTTTGTCCGGATGCGTCCATCACTTCTTTAATGAAACCTTACGAACTTACACTAAACACACCGTTATATACATCCATATATGCATTCACATACATCGTAAGCCAGTGTAAAATCTTCAGACTATACACATACACTCACGCATAATTATACAAAACACACCAATACATATATACTTTCACATGTTTCTGAACTTTAAAACTACATACACTGACAAGTTAATTTAGTCAATTGATGCAAATGCAACATTTATTTGGTCATCCAAATCTTTCGCCTACCAAAAAAGCCAAATGTAAACCTATCAGAACTTAAATCATACATGTGTTTGAAAATATTAGTTCGTTGTCATTTGATTGTTTTTTTATTGAAAAAATTTTATATAAAATATTTTATAAAATGCATCCACTAATATTTTACAATATTTTAGACTTGTTATAAACATTGACAGTTACAACAAATAACTCAATAGAATTTTGTAGTTGCAACAATATTTACAAACTATTTCATTAGCAGATTAATTTATCTTATTGTATTATCAATGCTAATTCGTGACAATATCTGATTATTTTTGTCTTTCTTAAGAGGAAATGTAAATGCTTTTATTGACAAAACCATGTAAAAGCAATTGCAATGTACAATCGCAAGTTTATCACATCGGATGGCTTGTGGTTCTTTTTTAAATTTGAGTTTTTAAAATAAATCTAAAACATTGTCAAAGAAATAAATCTTGAAAGATTTGCATGCAATGTAATTAATTTTATTAATTATTGCATCAATTCTCGCAGTCAACATGGATTTTAACATTTAAAGAAGATTATTATTTACTCAATTTTAAGTTAAATTTAATGAAGAGTTTAATAGCATTGTAAAAAAGATTTTTAAATAAACAAAATAATGATTTTTTTGTCTGTCTTCAACGTCAGTCCGTGTGAGCAAACACAAGCTCCAAGTCATTATCGTTATTATGGTCCTCCCTGATTAATCGTTTCTTGAGAATAGCCGTGCGAATATATGATGTGTACATCTCTATTTCGTGCGATGGACAATTCATCATAAGTCCATTTATAAATAACCGTCACCGATGATGCATCGAATATCCAGAGATGATCGCTGCCTCATTGCTCGTCGGTCGGTTTGTCATTACATATTCGCAATTTTTATGATCATTAGTTATTTTTTATAAAACTGATTAATTGTTTTATGAAAAAAGAAAATTTATCTTGGGTTTGGTTGGTATCTGAATTGTTATTGTTCCTGAATTGTGAATCAGATTATAAAGAACTTTATGAAATTTGGTTGGTGATTATTACTACATAAGCCAATGTATATCAGATTGAAAATTTATAAAATTAACTATATTTCATTAGTGTTACTAAAATAACTTTGTTTATCGAATTGTAAAACTCGTATTGCACAATGGTTGTATATTAGATTGAAAAACTCAAAATGTAATATTATATAGTCTTCTTTACATTAGCATTGTGAATCAGATTGTAAAACTTTTAATTAACTTTGGCTGGATATTGTTATTATATAAGCATTGTCTTTTCGACATTTCATCAATCACCATCTTGCATTGAACTCAGTCTCATTATTTTACTTGAAATAATTCATCTGTCGAAATTTAAAAATGGCTTCAACCAAATCAACGAAAACAAATGTCTTTACTTTACGATGTGACAACCATCCCGATGCTGATCTTGTAGAATCTTCCGTGCAGATGACATCCTGGGGATGTCATCTGCACGGAATGTGGGCTGGTTGTTGGAGACAGGATAATTGACGTTGGATCTGAATGGCGGTCATTCTGTAATGATAATGACCGCAAAAATAACTCAAGAGTCGGTGCAGCTGAGAATGAACTGTTCGAGGGATCCAACATTTCAACGTGCATCACCATGGGGTCGGGTTCTTCCAACATCAATGAAGATGGTAAACCCATTTACAAAAACAGAAGAACTATGAGCAGTGGTGATCGGGTCCTGACGATCGCCTTCAAAGAGATAACTCAGATGGCCGAGAGGTTGAATATCCCTTATGCGATTGCTGACCGAGCAAAAACAATCTTCAGACAAGTTCAAGACTCTAAATCTTTGAAGGGCAGGAGTAATGACACCATACCAAGTGCGTGTATGTACATTGCCTGCAGACAAGAGGGAGTACCTAGAACCTTCAAAGAACTGTGTGCTGTCTCAAAAGCATCTAAGAGAGATATTGGACGAACGTTCAAATTGATTGTCAGGATTATCGACACAAGTGTGGATGTGGTCTCAACCGGGGACTTTATGTCGAGATTCTGTACAGTTCTCGGCCTGGCTTCTTTTATCCAGAAAGCGGCCATTCACATAGCTGATAAGGCTGGCTCACTGAACATCGTTGCGGGACGTAGTCCAGTATCCATCGCAGGGGCAGCAATATACATGGCTTCTCAAGCCTCTGATGACAAAAAAACAGCTAATGAAATTGGAGAAATAAGTGGGGTTGCAGAAACGACATTGAAGCATGTCTACAAACTCATGTACCCCAGAGCCAATGATCTTTTTCCTGAGGACTTCAAATTTTCAGTGCCTATCGGTTCAATGCCATCAATGTGAACACATATAGGCACATTGTAATTTATTTTCAATTATTTATGTATTGGTGTTTTTATTTTTTCACTGATTCATTAATAAACTTTAATTAATTGAAAAAAATATGTTACATATATAAATATCATCTCCTTCCAACATATAGGCGTATTGCTAGGACCGACAAAACCTGACAACGGAGATTAAACATAATATTAAAAGTAAATAATCTCGTGTCAAAAATTTAAAATATAAATTAGGTTTAAAATGAACTGTTATATTTTGTTCACAAAACAATTCGAAAAGGAGGTTACCATTTATACAATTGAAGACATTGATGCAGCTAAATAACTGATTTTAACTGACGTTGAAGTAACTCATTTGGATTTTCCGAAAAATTAAGAAAGTTATCCTTAAAAAGATAAAAAATTCAAAGGAAATTTTTTTATTTGTAAACAATGAACTAATTAACAAATTATCTAATTAAATACCCTGTTGTGTTAGCGTCGATAGTGGCAAAGTATTCAAGATTACAACAAATGGATTAGCCGCCATGCTTGCCAACAGCGTTGGTTCAAACGACGTGCATATGTTCGGCGACTCAACTGAACGTATGTCATGATGTTTTCGACCAGTGTCGAGTATTCAGCGACTAATAGCATTATCATCTTATAAAGTGGAATAAATGGTGAGTGAATCCGATACTGAAAATGTTGAGATGCCAATCATAGTTGCTGATCGCAGCAATAAAAGAACACGCATAATTACGAATTTCGGATAATAAATATTTAAATTCTAAATTCAATACAAATATTGTTCGTTTTAGCACAAATTGTAAACTCTAAATTAAACTAAATTACGTAGTCAAGTCCGTGTTTTTTGTCAGAAAGCATGATAAATGTTCCAAGGATGACCTAATTGAAGAATTGTCAGCATGAGACCTCCAAGTTTTTTCATGTTTTCCAATACTTTTCCAGAAAAAAAATGATGATCATAAAGCGATGAAAATGAAAATGTAAATCAGGCAACCGCATTTCGAGTCTGCATCAATAAAGATGACACAGACAAAATGTACAATCCAGAAAATTGTCCATCGCAGGTAGTAGTAGGTGATTGTGTCTCAAAGGAGAAACAGACGAAAAAAGAGGCAATAATTAACAAATAATAGTAAAAGAGTGAAATGTTGAATGAAGAAGATTTTGAAGACATATACATCTATTCACTTTATTGAAAAAATGCCCGTTCGTTTTGGGGTTTGTTTCGTTGTTAGTTTATTATTGTTGCTTTGTAAATAAGATCGTAAATCTCGTTTCGTACTTTTATTAGTACATAAGCATTGTTTATCTGATGGACAATCTCATAAAGTAATAATGCATAGTTAATTATAATTCATAATAAATCACGTATATTAATTTATCATTGTAAATCGGATTGTAAAACTCGTATTGTACTATGTTAATGTACTAACGTTGTAAATCAAATTGTAAAACTTTTAATTAACTTTGGCTGGATCTTGTTATTATATAATCATTGTCTTTTCGACATTTCATCAATCACCATCTTGCATTGAACTCAGTCTCATTATTTTACTTGAAATAATTCATCTGTCCAAATTTAAAAATGGCTTCAACCAAATCAACGAAAACAAATGTCTTTACTTTACGATGTGACAACCATCCCGATGCTGATCTTGTAGAAGATTATCACGCTGGGGATGTCATCTGCACGGAATGTGGGCTGGTTGTTGGAGACAGGATAATTGACGTTGGATCTGAATGGCGGTCATTCTGTAATGATAATGACCGCAAAGATAACTCAAGAGTCGGTGCAGCTGAGAATGAACTGTTCGAGGGATCCAACATTTCAACGTGCATCACCATGGGGTCGGGTTCTTCCAACATCAATGAAGATGGTAAACCCATTTACAAAAACAGAAGAACTATGAGCAGTGGTGATCGGGTCCTGACGATCGCCTTCAAAGAGATAACTCAGATGGCCGAGAGGTTGAATATCCCTTATGCGATTGCTGAACGAGCAAAAACAATCTTCAGACAAGTTCAAGACTCTAAATCTTTGAAGGGCAGGAGTAATGACACCATATCAAGTGCGTGTATGTACATTGCCTGCAGACAAGAGGGAGTACCAAGAACTTTCAAAGAACTGTGTGCTGTCTCAAAAGCATCTAAGAGAGATATTGGACGAACGTTCAAATTGATTGTCAGGATTATCGACACAAGTGTGGATGTGGTCTCAACCGGGGACTTTATGTCGAGATTCTGTACAGTTCTCGGCCTGGCTTCTTTTATCCAGAAAGCGGCCATTCACATAGCTGATAAGGCTGGCTCACTGAACATCGTTGCGGGACGTAGTCCAGTATCCATCGCAGGGGCAGCAATATACATGGCTTCTCAAGCCTCTGATGACAAAAAAACAGCTAATGAAATTGGAGAAATAAGTGGGGTTGCAGAAACGACATTGAAGCATGTCTACAAACTCATGTACCCCAGAGCCAATGATCTTTTTCCTGAGGACTTCAAATTTTCAGTGCCTATCGGTTCAATGCCATCAATGTGAACACATATAGGCACATTGTAACGTATTTTCAATTTCTCATGTAGTTGTGTTTTCATTTATTTATTTATTGATTTAGTAATAAACTGTTATTATTAAAAAAATTGTTACATATTTATATGGCTTCCTTCCTTAAAAGTAAATAATCTCGTGTCAAAAATTTAAAATATGAATTACGTATAAAAGTGAACTGTTATATTTTTATCACAAAACAATTCAAAAATGTGGCACATTTTAACTTATTGTTTAATTTTTTTATGTATTTGATTTTTTATTTATTTATTTATTTAGTAATAACGCAGCAATAAGATACCACGCATAATTAAGTGGTCTCACATATAAGCACACTGTAACTTTTTTTTCACTTTTTTATGCATTTGTTTTTTTATTTAATTATTTTTTTAATAATAAACTGTCGTTTTATTTATAAAAAATATTGTTGTTGATGATGACGCTAATGATCTAAATATATGAAAAATTCTGAATTCTTAAGAGGCTTAGATATTAGTGATGAACGATATTAACAGTAGGTATAAGTTTGGCTGGCTGTCTCCTCAATCTTGCTGTTTCATTGAGTGCAGATCGTAATAAATAATTATTTTTTGGACGATTCTGTTGCATTCTTTTAATTTACTTATTCCATTTGAACTGTTTATCGCACTTTGTTTACTAATGAAATTAAATAATTAATAACTATGAAATTATGACATTAAATAATTTCAAAATGAAACTATTTTTCTAACACTTCAATCTCCATCATCACTAACAAAAAACTAATCATTTATTTTCCAATCATCATCATCGTCATTGATATCTTTGTCCTTTTTGTTGACAATACAATTATCCCGGTAAATAATGTTCTTTAGTTGTTGCCATCTTCATCGTCCTCAACAACCGCTCGTTCATTATCATTATAATCATCAACCGCAGTCGTTATGAGCAATATCATCATCGCCTCATTTTGATAATATATATCATCATTTTTAATGTGTATATATAATGTTGCTGTTACCTTCTCTTATCTTCATCTCTAGATTACTCAAGTTAGCCATCATTATCTTCATCATTATCATTTTAATAAACACCATTATTAATGTCATCGTGCTAATAAACGTCTTATCACCATTACTTCAGTTATTATTATCATCACCCACATCGCCATCATTATTAGCATTATCTTCTCACTCATCATCATCCTTATCGTCGTTATCATCCTCATTGTCATCTTTATCATTTTCCCAGTTATCATTATCTATATCATTACCATGACTCTCATCATTGTCCTTCCTACAATCATCATCAACGTCATCCTTATGAACAGCTGCATCATCCAGCAACTTCCCTCGCGTCATAAATTCAGTGACATGAAGAGTCATGCAGTGAACGTTAGGAGCAATCCCTCGCCACCTCACCCTGCTAAGTAACGAGTTGACCCCAAAAATAATTAGGTCGAGGTCATTCATAATTATTTGTTGTCTTTGGAGGTAGTCGGGTTAATGGAAGTCGTTGTCATTCAATGTTTTTTTGTCATTCGGTCAAGTTGGTGACAATTGTTATGCTTATTCAGTAGCGTTATTATTATTTATTATTATTAATTTTTTTTCGAACTATTATGTAAAAAGTTTTGTAGAAAAATTTTCATATTTACAACGACTGTTGATTTTTATGAAAATATATTTCAAATTACTTTCAATTTTTGGTTAAAATCTTCTATTTTGTTGCCAGTTCGTTTAACATTAAATCCGATTGCCTAAAATATTTGAAACAACGCTAAGATTTGTATAATTATTAATATAATATTCAAAGTTAAAAATAAATTTTGTTTTCTAGTGAAAGAGACGTTCAAAAAGTATTTGTCCGAATGAGGTGAGCTTGGGAACCGGAATTGGTAAAAACTATATTTAAGGATTGGAAATTTTAGGGGGGTAGAGAATTACTGTTTGAGAATCTGAAATGATGGATGGGAATATATATAAGTTGTTAACCGCCGAAATAATCAAATTGCGCTCTATTATTTGATTATTGTTACCTTTGCTACATTTGCAATCGGATAGAGGGTCGTAAGAAGGCATCGTAAGAATCTAACGTTCAGACTTTATATTGGTCCGGCGTAGATAAGTCAGTGAAGTTTTGAGCAGAAAAGCGAGGTTTACAGCGAGGGTTGAAGCGAAGTTGTAAATGTTATTTATGTAGTTACTTGAATTAGTTTATTGTTTCTCATACTGTTGGCGTTCAAATAAACGTTCAGCAAAATTTGCGTTTGAAGCAGTTGTGTTCATCTACCGAAAATCTTGAATTTAAAGGGTAATGAACACTTGACGATTGTTGGAAGCTATAACACTATTGTTAGAATTATAGATATCACGGATGTTATAACATCGGTGTTGGTAGTTACGAACGACAAGGGTTACAACAATACATCGTGTTGAGACTATCTGATATGCAATTGTTTAAAAATGTCACAACATTGTATTGAGTTTTTCAATATTTTCTGCGACGAATTTCAGTTCATTATGTAAATTTTTGATATGCGGCTGAAACCTTTCTCCGCTCGAACACCAACAAACAAACGCCACGCCAGGCAGTCACGCTTTTGACAGGGACTCGCCTCTTCACGAATGTGCATCTCCGGGTCGAAAAACACGGGCCGGGTGGAAGAGCTTTTATGCTCTGCTTGCCAGTCTGTTTATCCTTACTAACCGCCGACAAGACTTCTTCAGACATGTTATAGACGTTGAACACGACAAATAAAAGCTAATTGAAATAAATTTATTAATAAACAAAAAAGAAAATAAACTTACAATATTCTTCAAATTAAACGTTTTCAAAATGTTCCCCAACTAAATAATGAACTAAACTGAATATTCTAACTGAAATAAATGAACAAAAATCAATTCGCAACAGCAACAGGACAGCAGTAATAAATAAACAAAATCCTTAGAAAAATATTCGAACCATCACTTATAATAAAATGAGCTGAAAAAACCGCTGAAACCGTACGACCAAAAAACACGCAGAAACCGAAACCAGAATAATAGTCTAAAACACTTGAATACTAATCTAACCAACTAAGCAACCATTCATTTTCATACATACTAACCATACTCTCGCGATACCATGTAAACATTCACACAAAACTAGTTCACGCAACATTCTACAAGCACACAAGACCATACCACACAAGACCATACAACAAGCGCGCCAAACAAACTAATGTACGCACATGAAACATTCCTTCAATATGCACGCCAAAAAAACTTCTCAATTATCTAGTTTGTTCAGTTCATGAACAAAACTTTTATACATTTTTTTCATTTTCGTTTAAATATTTGCGTACATTCCAGCATAAAAAGCATTTTCGACAATCATTTGTCATCATCAGCGTTCAATACGGATTTTTTTTAATGAGTTTGTTTTTATATACGTTTTGAGTGACTTTGTTACTGTGTTTTCACTAAGTGAACTTGTTCGACTTCTGACTTAGTTAGTTGGTAAGACTCCAGCAGAGTGTTGCTGAATATTTATTGCTGGACGTCTTTGTTTGATGAGCAAAGATTCTGCAATCTTAAGATTGTGTAAGTTGTTTTATTGTAGTATATTGTTGTAACCTGCCATGTTAGAAATTCAAAGATCTCTATACTTCCAATCTATCTATACTTCCAATCCAACACCAGTGTTGGATTGGAAGTATAGATAGATGAACACAACTGCTTCAAGCGCTAACTTTGTTGAACGTTTATTCGAATGCCTGACTGTATGTTCAACTTTGCTGTAAAAGTTTTTTAAAAATGTGTTAAATATTGTTTCTTTTATTAACTGCAGATTTCACCAAAAGTCTCATTTTTGAACCCCTACAATGCTGAAAAATGTTTACTTTAAAAATAATTAAAGTTGTTAAATAAGTTATATCTTGTTTATTAGTCAATTAACAAAGTATACAATTCTAGCAATATATCCTATTAAAGCAAACAAACCCGAAGTTATTCAAACATCCATCTAATTGATAAAAATATGACGAGAGGTTTTCATTCAACAGATAACAACACACTGCACCACCAAAACGGAACGCCAACAAAAGAAAAAAATAATTTTTTATTTCTTAATCTCAAAATGCAATAAATGTTAGCATTCTGAAATTTATTAATTAATTTCACTTTAAATAAATTCAAATCAAACATTTTTAAACTCTAACAAAAACATAAAACACCACATCGCTCACAGTGGCAGTAATACTTTTAACACAGAAACCCTTTGAAAAGAACAACAAAGGCATAGAGGATAATAACAATGACCATATATTTCTTTTTTAAGATCATCTAATCTTTCCTTTATAAGGATAATTGTTTTTGAATGTTTTTCAGTCTTAAGAGGACATTACAGAAGCGCAATTAATTACATTATGTACCAACATAACCGCCATTAATCAACGTTAAACAAGCGCTTCTGAGGAAGAAGAAGAAATTATTTTCCATCCTGCCGTCCTTAATGTTGCTTTGCTGCTATGTGCATCCTGCAAATTTCGTCAAAGCTTTTTTACATTAACTTCAGAAACTTTAACTTCAAATTGATTTAGTATTTATTTATCCATTGTTATAAAGATTTTTTGAATTTTAAAAAATTTTGATTGAGTAAAATTCAAAAAGCTAAAGGAATGAATTAGCCATTGAATGTTAGAACTATTTTATTTCACATATTTAACCTTTGTTCTCAAAACTAAAATGAGAGTGCTATTTAATTAAACTTCCATGAATTCTTTCCTTTTTGTTAACACAAAATTGTAAACTGAAACAGAAAATGGACATTTTTGAGTAAAATACAAGCAAGTCTAAACAAAAACACATTCTCATCCGAAGAACAATAAAATTGAAATAAAATCCAATCATGATACTACAGGCTAATGCCATTAATTAACTATTCCTAATTAAAAAAACATTAAATTTTTATCGTTAATAAATTGAAGTCTCAAACATACGAATATTTATTACAGAAAATCACTAAGTAGA